AATCGTTGGAAATACTTAATAACTGGTTAATAGAGGAATCGCCTGCTGTAAAACCTGATTGATATTTTGTTATTACTTTCAAATCAAGAAGAAAAATTATGAACATGTTTATAAACGCACCTCTCGAACACTTTACCAATTATACTTAAAAGTGAAATTGGTCGATAGTTTTTAACATCATTACGGCTATCTTTTTTATATATAGGTATAACATTTGCTTCTTTCCACGATGATGGAAATATTCCTTGTGACTATGCCTAGACAACGTGCCCGAAAGGACACAAGTCAGCATCGTCACGGATCATATGGTCAGCTCCTTGATGATCGCGCACTTTTATCTTGCCATTTGTAGTCCAAGTCTTTTAATGTGTTTGGATTTGACGAGCTGGCGGGCATGAAAAAAGAGCTTGTCGCGAAACTTCGTAAGGTCTTCGAATTCGTTGACCGATATTCCGTGGAAATGTGTTTCTTAAAATTGGCGCTGTTCGACAACAATGATAATTTGGCGTCACTTGAAGTGAGCCTTACAATGATTTGACGGGGTTTCCTATGACCTGTCTCTCCTGATGAGCTAGGTTTACCAACTCTATGGGATCTTTCAATATCAGATGCATGTAGGGGGATTTTGGCCTTGGAGCATGCGTCCGGTACTAGCTTTGTGGTATCCTGTGACGGTTTGGATTGGGTAGTAGGTTCGGCGAAGCCAGAGAAACGGACTAGTGGTCGGCGACCGTATTGCTCAAAATCATCAATGGCAAGTTTGAGCTGTCGATTTTCGTTCCTCAATTGTGACATGTCGTTGGGGATGGGGGCGAGCTGGGCTCTTATAAGCATATCGAGTCTGTGCTGTGTCATGTCGAAAACAGCCGATGCTATTCTCTGGATATCGTTATCAGATAGGCTGGACAAGTGTGAGGTGAAGTCCCCAGTCGCCGAGGGGGTCGGGAAATTGTTACCGCGAAACGTCGTCGACGTAGCTGGGGGAGATGACATCGTGTAATTATAACTAACGTTAAGATACGTGTCTCTGGTTTTCTTACACTCAGGTATATCTGACAAAGTCGATTCACTCCTATCCCTTTTATTTTCACGCAAAACTTCAGACTGTAAGTCTGTCATAGCCGAATGTAAACATAGAAGTAATGAGTGCGTGTATGTGAGTACTATACACTACACCTGTATAAGCGCGTGCCAAAAGGTAAGCGAAGGGTGCGTATCAGCAGACCGTGACGAATGACGCGTATAGGTAGACTGTAGTATCTGGATAAACGGCAAAAGGAATATTATTACAAGTTCATTTCAGCATTCAATATCGTTAGATGTTACCTTGCATACATTCCATGACAAGAGTTGAGGCGCAGAAGTGCTCTAATATAGTAGATAGTATCACATTCTCGGAGCTATGTTGAATACGTGTAAACACCTCCAGGGGAGATCACCATAAGAGATTAACTTAAGTGCAAAATACTTAAAGAGACAGCCGTTACTCTAAGCGAGCCGTTAGCGTCTATTTTCAACAAATCATTATCTGTGGGAATCTTCCCGAACTTATGGAAAAAAGCAAATATGTTACCTGTTCACAAAAAAGATAGTCGAAACGATGTTAAAAACCACCGACCAATCTCATTACTCTGTATCTTAGGGAAAATATTTGAAAGTGTGTGTATAAATATGTATATAATTACCTACTTGACTATCAAATTCTCACCAATAATCAATCAGGTTTTAGATCAGGGGATTCAGCTGTCAACCAATTACTCAGCATTTCAAACGACTTTATGGGCGCTTTAGACACAGGGAAAGAAATTAGAGTTATTTTCGGTGACATAAGCAAAGCCTTCGACCGGGTGTGGCATAAGGGTCTTTTGTATAAATTATCCCAAATAGGTATCGCTGGGTCCCTTCTCAAATGGTTAAGAAGTTATTTAACTGATCGAAAACAAAGAATTATAAATAATAATGCACATTCTGATTGGGTTGAAGTCAAAGCAGGGTCCCTCAAGGGTCAATTCTCGGCCCGCTTCTATTTCTTATCTATATAAACGATATCGTTAACAACATAAATTCTGTTTTTAAATTATTTGCAGACAATACATCACTATACATGATTGTCGATAACCCAATCACCACAGAAACCGCTCTTCAGGCAGATCTACAAACACTCACAAACTGGTCGAAATCGTGGTTGGTAAGCTCCAATCCTAAAAAACACGAAAGTATGTTAATTAGTAAAAAACAACCAAGACCTTATCACCAACCATTGTACATGAATAATGAAGAAATAACAAATGTCGAAGTACACAAGCACCTAGGGGTATTTTTTTCGAATGACGGGAGTTTGGTCAAACATGTAAACTACATTATTAATAAAGCCTCAGTCAGAATAAATATTCTACGTTCTCTAAAATTCAAACTCGACCGAAACAAATTACAGACTATTTACTTTTCATTTATTAGACCTATTATTGAATATGCTGACGTAGTGTGGGATAATATTACCGCTGAATATAGTGCTAAACTGGAACACATAAATACTGAGGCAGTTAGGATTGTATCTGGTGCAACCAAACTGACAAGCATAGACAAACAGTATATAGAAGTAGGCTGGAACAAACTAATTGAACGTAGACATCAACACAAACTAATTATTTTTCACAAAATGTTCTACCAAAATACCCTCCAATACCTCAACCGACTTGTACCACATTCAGTCACTGGAATACATAGCCATACTACTAGATATTTGGATGCTACAACTATCGCTCCCATTCATTGTCGTTCTAATGTGTATCAAAGATCTTTCTTGCCCTCTGTTATCAATAGCTGGAACTCTATTTCAGTTAACTTCAGGAGAAACCCTTCCATTTATCAATTTAAATCACATATTAAACTCAACAACAAAAACCTTCACCAAAACACTACTCATATGGCTCACGTTTATGACAAATATACCATGCTAGACTACGCATGTCATGCAGCTCTCTTAATGAACATTTATATAGGAAAAACATTGTTATATACCCTCTTTGCGCATGCGGTACCATCGAAAACACTTCTCATTACCTGCTAGATTGTACCTTATACACTGTCATCAGACAACTACACATTGAAACTCTTCAGTATCAAATAACTGTCAAATTATTATTATATGGCGATGAATCGTTATCTTTAGAAGAAAACAAAATAATTGAACTCGCTGTTCAGGATTACATATAAGCGATTTCAACAACAATAGGGTGATATTATATTATGATGTTACTGTTATTAACATGTTGTTTCAAAAAAAAACTTTTTGGATTATGAGTAGCTCACATATGCACATATGCATGTATGTTTTTATGTACGCATGCATCTATGCGTGTATGCATGCATGTGTGAGCGTGTGTGTGTAGGAGTACATACATTACGTACGTGGGTGCATGATTATGTATGCAGCCATGCACACTCATGTGCGCAAGTAAATATGATTTATGTATGTATGTAGGTGGGTAGGTATGTACTTACAAACGTGTGTGTGTATGTATGTATGCATGATAGATATATGTGTTTATGATATGTGTGGGTATGCATACATGGAAGTTTGTGTGCTAGCATATGTAAGATGAAATAGCTGAATTGCTAACATAATAATAGATCTATTGACTTCCGATTTAACATCTTATGAGGTCTTTGAATAAGATTCTTAATCAATGACCCTTGTATACATATGATAACATATATCATATGTAAAGTAAGTCATGTAGATGGTCTTTCCCGATGCAAACAGTCTAGTGGAAACGCGTATACCAGGAGGACAAGAAAGAACAGGAGAATGACATATTAAGGCACGGGATGTGACGAACAATCGATCAGCAATAGAGTATGGAATGTGTACAGTCTATCACAACGACTGTCTGCGTAGGGAAAAAACATCCACATGATTATGATTATCATAGAGTATATTTTATGTTAGCATTATCGTGCAGCTTGTTTGTTTAGATCTTACTTATATGCATATATATACCTTCCTTGAAACAGTATGAAAATCAATCATAAAGTGTATTAACGATGACGCAACAGAAATATTTGTCTTGACCACAATACACTGATTTATGAATGTAACGTATTTGGTACATGTACCATATTTTACACTGCATTTCCCCAACTCTCTTCTAACTTCCCCTGTAATTTATTCACGTCACTATCCCTAAGCTATAGTTGATAATGTTGGTTACGATGAAAGGTAACAGATTTATATAAGTGTATTAACACTTGTTTCTGTCTCCAATTCATTAATGAATAATCATATTTGTATTATGTATTATATATGTAATGTGAATAAAACAAAGTTTAAACTAAGATTAATTTCCATGATGTGTTTTTTCACTTAATTGAAAAATATTTATTTCCATTATGTGTTTTTGTCACTAAAGTGAAGAAGATTTATTTCCATTATGTGTTTTATCACCTAAGTGCTAAAGATTTGTCTCCATTATGTGTTATTTTCACCTAAGTGCTAAAGATTTGTCTCCATTATGTGTTATTTTCACTTAAGCGAAAAAGATTTAATTCCATTATGCGTTTTTTTCACATCAATGCAAAATATATCTTTCCATTATGTGTTTTTTTTTCACTTAAGAGAAAAAGATTTAATTCCATTATGTGTCTTTTCACTTAAGTGAAAAAGTTTTATTTCCTTTATGTGTTTTGTCACTGGAGCAGCTGTTAGTGAAAAGTTTTGCCATTATGTCCAGGTTTTTTGTTTTTAAGTGTTAATCTTTTGCATTTAAGTAGGTTATGTATTTTATCCTAAAACGACCCCATAGCTTATTATATCATATTGTATAACTTTAATAACCGACAACTTCTATATAACGACCCTTTATATTTAATTTCCCTTGGGTGGTCGCTTAATACAGATTCCACTCTATTATGAGAATGCGAGATATTTACTTTGTTTCTGTTCATTTTGCTAATAGTTTACAGTGAATTTATCGTTTTGTTATTATTTCTCCTTGTAGATATCCTAATCCTCAACTTTGCCGATGTCAGTATGAACAGACGATTGAGACATTGTCAGCGTCCACTAAAGCTGACACTGCTGGTGTTCTACATAGGATTGGTGCTGTTTTCTATATTTAACTACCGTAGTAACTGTATTTACACGAGTCCGGAGTCTCTGATCCGGTCAAACCTCATCAGCCGTGTCAAAACCGCACATATATGTCGGATAAATTTTGATAAACTCGGTAAGACCACAGGTGCTTTAGTCGGTTAACTACGATCTTCCTTTACAAAAAAGAAATAAACCCTCAGACTTGTTCAATGCTACTAATGCTTAGAACTAGCCTTACACAAGTCCAAGGTTAACAAGGTTGCTTGGTAATATTGAAGCTTCTTGGTGAAAAACACTGTTCTATCTATTCAAGTAGTAAGGAAGATATACGAGTTTTACTAAAAGTGGCCTTTAATATTTAATCATATGAGGTATTCAAGTATTCTACACATGCCATATTATTAACGGTGAGTTAAAAGTGACCAACGCTCAACCAACAGGCAGGATCTCTTACCTGAACTTAACAGCTTCCAACTTACAGTGAACAGCAAAAGGGTCAGTCATTTAAAATCAATAGCAAAACATCTTAAGACATGCTTCCTGTTTATAAGAGGATGTATTGACGCGGATGGCATTGCAGTGGTTCTTAAATGTCAATTTGAACTCGTGTATAAACATTTGTTTTTCATTTTGATAAGTTAAAATTGTATTTTCTGGGTTCCAGATGTGGTGGATATAGATATTTTCTCTGAACCATCTTTCGAACTCATTAAGGAGAGAAATCAGCATGTTTTTCCAGGCGGATATTGGAAACCTGAGATATGTGAATCATTGCAGAGGGTTGCTATCATAATTCCTTATAGGAATCGTCTCCACCATCTAAAGCTCCTGTTGAACAGAATACACACGTTACTAAGGAAACAAAATATTGAATATCAAGTGTTCGTGGTAGAACAGGTCCGTATACTGTCAATATACTCGTTTCAGAAGTTATTTAATTTAATTTTGTGTACGCGCTGTCCATGAATCATCTATTCAGGCGCAGTATGATACATTTGACAAACGGCATACAGATTTAATCAAATGCAGCTGTGTCCAACTATATTGGGGTTTAGTAGGTGTAAGCCGGATAAAATTCGCCAATGCAGCCTTAGCAAGTGATATGTAACTGTTCATCTGCATTTTCACTTTGTTCAGTATATCCTCTTTGGAAGTACCTCGGGTCAATTGTATTCAGAGAACTCGTCGTCTCATCCATTGTGTGCAACCTGCCTAAGAACAAGGTTGTGACCTTAAAGAAAACCATGTCATCAAGTAGACACAGTGACTTTAATGAGTAATACCCTGCCACATAAACGTTAGTATCCTTGTCCCTTTGCATGCAAACCACGAGAGAATTCCATTCTGGTGTTTCAAACACAGCTTGATAATCTCTCCTTAAGTTTGTTTAAGATAAACTGTAGTATGACTGCGTCTAGGTTTCATCTATTTGTTTGCTTGCTAAATTTTTCTTAGATATTGTTTGTCTCCCAATAAAAGATAGATTAAAGCTTTAGTCATGACGGGAAAACTTTCGACTGGAACAGGGATTCTTCAATTGAAGCAGTGGAGTCATTTCATCTCTTTACCATGTACAGTTATCTGTAGGATCATACACGTCCCTGACTATACCGTATTTATGATCTCCGCTCCTCTACAACATACGTTTGCAACTTTCAGGAAAAAAATCCGTGTTTATTTATCTCACGCATGCCCTGAAAAATTAGATCTTTATATAAGATGATCGTGGTAATTTGAGTTGTTGATTGATAGTTTAGTTCTAGTTGTATTCAATCAAATTAGCATGAATGTCAGGAACACATTTTATTAGATAATAAATGATACACAATACAACGATTTCATACTGTACATACTATATGAGTTATCGATTATTGTTAAGAATTAATGAAAATAGTAATTATTCTTTAGTTTTCTTAAATAGAAATATTCCTTTTGAGTATCCATATCGAGTGAAAACGTATTTTGATTACTTTTATATACAGGCTGGAAATGATAGTTTCAATAAAGGGAAGCTGAATAACGTTGCTTTCACCGAGGCGACAAAGATGGAAAATTTTGATTGCTTTATATTCCACGACGTTGATTTCCTCCCTGAAAACGACAAAAACCTTTACATGTGTGATGACCACCTCCGTCAACTCTCTTCAGCTATTGACGAAAACAGATATCAGTGAGTTGTACATGTACCTAAAATGAAACATAGTGTCTGATGCTTATACCTTTCGAAGCAGTTGCTGTATCACTGTAAACATGCATTTTTTAAAGTGGTATATATTTTTTGGTTCAGGATTTCATGTTCTCTATATATTCGCTAAAAAATCCATAGAATTGCTTATAATTTATGAACATGAGTTCGCTGTATTAAGTAGAATTTTCATTTACAGAAAAATATATTCTGAGATTGATTTAATACTATACTTTTTTAACTTTAATGAAAAAGCAAACAAACATAAAATGCAGTTGAACAGATAAACTTGCCGCCTTAAACCACGCTTCCTGCTTCCACATACGTTATAAGAGTTAAGTTAGTAGAGTTGAACTGTTTTCAATGTGCTGAGATTTACCGCCCATGTCTATAAGTCTCTTTCAACTACATCACTACTCATTTTATAAAGCATTTTAAAAACGTAACTCATCAAACTGCATCAGATGTAAAATGTTTTACCCCCTCCCCTCTTTTTATGTCGAGTTTACTTTAAAAATTAATTGAAAAATTCAGAGTGAATGCGTTTCAAGTGTATGTACAAGTGTAGCAATATATATTTATGTGTGAGGGTAAATAAGATTTTTATTCCTTTCAAAAGTGTCATGTTCTATAACAACGCTGGCGGTGTTATTGCCATGAAGTCTGAAAACTTCCGAAAAATCAATGGCTTCCCAAACTCCTACTGGGGCTGGGGTAACGAAGACGACGACTTTTCAGCGCGGTAAGTCATGCTAGTATCAGTACGTAACTGTACCATGATTATCACGTGATCACATTTAAAATAGTAGCTGGTGATACTACTGAGATTATGATAAACTTTGATTTTCCCGACACATGTATAATAATGTTTAGTGTAAATATCACAATGTATGCCAATAATCAGATAACATATTTTAACAAGACTTGTTGTAATGTAGGTATCCAATCTCCCTAGTCCAAAGGTCAATTTTGTTCAGTGTCTCGTCAAAAGATTTTCCGGGCTGTGTATAACAACGGTTTATCCAAATTACTAAACTGGATACATTATTTCATTGAGGAAGGAGAAAAGTGCTTCAGCAAAAACTACAATACATATTTGTTTCGGCTGAGAACCAGTTTTCATTGATAGTTAAAGTATGACGGCCCATATGTTCTAGACACAAAGTCTGAAATTTAAAGCCGTGTCCATGTATGTTACTGACTTCTCTTGTTCATTGTCCATTATTTTAAGGATTAAAAGAATAAACCTTCCTCTAGCCCTATCACCTTTTGTCCGTTATTCAGGACACGAGAGGCAGGGATGCTGATCACTCGACCGCCAGAACACATTGGAATGTTCAAGGCGGTGCGACATGTGAAAGAAGTTAGATCTGAGAACGGGTAAATTAGACAAATGGCGTTATTAGTTTTGGTTTCATATAATTTGTACAGCGTATGTTATAATAATCCTACACTGGGAAGTGCTTTGAAATGTTATTAAAATAAGAATAACATTTCATCGTCCACCTTTTGAGAATCATCGCAGATTTTTTCCATGGTTGATATTGCGATAAATTTACATAATTGTGTGACAATCATATGTTATCTCTCAATAATTAAAATTACCTTTATAATGAAAACATGAATATGCGTGTCATTAACGTGTAAATCAATGTGACATATTAAAACTGATCCAATTATACTTTTATTCGTGATTCAGATTTAACGTTTATTTATGTACAATCGAATATTATGCAAAATATCAGTAAACTATAGTAAACAAGAACTCCAGTATTTTAATGCATGTTTCGAACATGAACATAATTTACCCAGATGTATTATGGTAGTATCTTGACCACATAATTGTTATATGTCTAGAACTATAACAAGAAATATTTAAACTACAAATGACATATGATCTTGGACATTTGTTTCGCTGAATGTTGTGTGTTTTTGTGTGTACAGATATGATGCATTTCTTGGTTGGCGAGGAAGATGGATGAATGATGGCCTAAACTCACCTTCCACGATGAAATATACAATAATCCAGCTCACACGACTACCCCTGTACACAAACATCACTGTAGACATAGGCCCCTCCGAGGGGCACCGGGTAGACATCAACAAGGACACCACGCGAGAATCGATATGGTGGTGGGTATTTACCAGATCGTCACAAACCTTAGTTTATCGTTTATGCTAAAACAATCCTTGCAAATGTGTAACTTTACCAAATTCAACAAAAAATCTCAATGATATACTTTTTTCTGAATAATTGCAATATTTTAACAGAATTCCAATTTAAAGGAATGCCTTTTTCAGGAATTTGCGTGGTAGGGAGCTCATGTAGTATTGATGTCTCAATAGTTAGTGGAAACCCCCAGTACGCTGTTAGTTTGCTTCGTTTTTGAAATTATGGATCAATAATTAGCGATACCGTGTTAAATCAATATAGTAATAACGTGCTTTGGTTCTTTGCAGGTTTTTGAAGTTCTACTTTCCATAAAAGAATATTAAGACTTTGAGTTATACAAAAACGGTTGTCTAATGATTTATGTGTAAAACATTTCATGAGAGAGCTGAACTTGAGACATAGCAGGGACGTGGTGAATTCACCTCTGTCATAACCTGAGCATAGGAAGTACAAGCATCTACACTGTTTCTTGCATTTTGCAGATTGCTATAAAGCATTTTTTTTAAAGTTGCTAATTTATTCACTGCATTCATATTTTTATTCAGGTTTTTAGTAAAAATTCTATTTCTTAATATGTAATGCCGCATTTGATTAATTTGGTAGCAAAGTGAATTGAATAATATAAGTTCCTTCCATTCTCTGTATTTCTTGTTATTTAGGACAAAAGTAACACGCCCTATAATGGAATTTTAACACATTATAGTCTAGGTGTAGCTTTTGCTTATTGCTGCTGACAATGGAATAAAGCGACAGGAAAACTAAGAAAATAGCTAGGAGTTGAACCCGGGACCTATGTTTGACTAGTCTGCGCTCTACCGAATCAGCGCACGAGATAATTTTCCTAACCCAATAGGTATGAGTATGATAGTACGTACCAAAGTGACAGGTATACCACAGTTCACTAGACTAGCAGACGACACGTGCTAACATTAAGTATTGGATTTAAAGACTCAAGAACAAACATTCGAGTAAGCTTCTTGTACACATCACGATATAATGTTCTCACTTTGATGACGTGGCATTAACTGGATTTGCTGCAACTTTACCTGGCAGGTGTCGTTACCTAAGCTAAAGACCTCTCTCCTTTCTTGAATAAAATCCTGGTCTTATTCCCTTGTTCTTTTTTAAAAGGTCTCCGTGTAAATGATAAATATTTACTTCTTTCTTTCTTCTTGATTTAATCATAGTGTAATCGATTTCCATTTCAAGTTACGGCTTTGTTCACACTTCAGAATTTGTTTTAAAGTTCAATACATCAATATTAAATGGCAACACATAAAATTTATTTTGTAACATAAGAGTCTGGTATAGAGGACTTTCACTAGTCCTGAACCGGAAATAAACTTAACTTCACTTAACTTAAAGACCAAATATTATAAGATATATATACTGTTTGTTTTGTTTGTCTTTCTTCATTGACCTTCTAGCTTGTTCATTTGGCGCTTCCTCATGTATTGTGTTTTGTTAAACTAAACTGATTTAAGAAGGCAGGAGTAATGTCCGTTTGACGTTGACTTATATTTGTGACCTTTCCACAATTATTTCCGTTTAATAAATACTACAAGGCGTTCAACACAGCACCACGTCTTTACGGACTTCCCCAATCGATGCATACAGACGGAAGACCCCGTTATAAGACAATACATTTGGTTGTGTTGATGGTCTTTCTGCTCTACTCCGTCATAAGTTAAGTTATCATGTTCGTTACAACGAATGTGGGACCAATTCCCAATGTTTATATAATATCCTGCACTGAATCTGATGTTTAACATTTGCTTTGGTCAATATAGATCAGCATAATAATTAACTTGACGAGAATTATTTAAGTTTATCAACTCACATAAATATTTCCTATGTGAATTTCTCGATTAAATGAGCGGATTGCTCCGGAAATTTGACATCCTATTGTCTACACTGTAAGGATGACTTCTTTGTCCCATATAAAGTTCTAAGTAATTTGTAGCCTACAAACATACGTTTGCAAGGATCCAACGTTATTAGGGAAGCTACCGTTAGTATATCTTCTTTGTCCTGTTCCTTTATACATATATATATATATATATATATATAGGGGTTTTCCCAGATTTTTTTAAGCTGATATGTTTCTTTTTTAACGAACGTTTAAGCATTGAATTGTTTTTGTATGGTATTTATGATCTATTTGAATGACACAGCTTTGCAAGCAAACAAATCATAATGCGCGCTATTGTTTGCTTGCAAAGCTGTGTCATTCAAATAGATCATAAATACCATACAAAAACAGTTCAATAATTAAAATTACGTTTTCTCTATCTCTTATTTCTTTTTTAACTTATAATTTGTATTTAAAATTAAAAATGCCCGCCTTATCGACAGTCCACACAATTTCGTTCAATAGTTTGAACAGCGTATTGTCGCGTGCTGATTGGCGAACAAGGAGTACTTTGAAATTTTAACAAACACTTCAATTTTATTTCACGATTCAGTATCAATACAATTGCGTATGATATGTCTATAGGGTGATTTAAGTTTATCAATAGAAATCTGAGCTGAAAGCTAGATTTTAAATTGTTCCGATGTTTCCCGCATGGATAAATACAGTGAACACCGTGAATGTTAAAGTTTTCCATACTGATTCATTCGAATGCTTTCGTTATCGTTACTGTTTATAACGCTTTGAATACCGATGACCTTTGAAACTTTGAAAGGTCATTCATCCCGATCATGTTGTAAAAACCCAAAGGCAAGTCAAATATACTTAGCTCACCCAGGTCTAACTTCAATTGAATGTTCACCAGGACATATCAATTACCGCGTTCTACAGCCAATAAAACAGTAAACTAGACAAAACAATGATACGGCGAACCTAGATGAAATCTGAAGAAGCTCATAACAAGAAAAGTGCATGAAGTGTATAGCAAGTGATGTAACCACGTTGAGAACGGACGTAGTGTCAGTGACATTACCATTCGGACATGGTCAGTAAATAAATAAAACACAAGACAAAAAGGAAGACATAAATACAACAGTCTTTTCTGCATCAGCCGTTCAAGCCATCTTTACAAAATTTCCAGTAATGTGACGATGCGCTGCATCAAATGCCGATTGTTTTTCTTGTCAGATGCAAGTGAAGCGACGTCGTAACAATGCTTGTTTTGGTAGATCTTTAAGATATTAAGCCAACAACAAAAGCGATAAAACTTTGTCAAAAGACATAACCATGCATTAGTAGAAACGGCAGGATTGCATTTGGTTGCCAATTCAAAATGGCGCACTATTTTGTTTTCAAGCTTTTATTTATGTGACGCATGACGCTAAAGATAATAGTATTCAATCCCCTAATTTAATAAAATTATGCTTTCGTTGTTGATGGTAATTCAAAAATATTAAAAATAAATTAAAATATTGTTTTCGCTTAGAGCACCTAAATATTTTCACTCGTTTTTGCAGAATATATGGATATTGTCAATGGCAAAATATGCCTATATATTGTCCCGTGTTTCGAAGCAATATTGATATATTGCCATGCTCATGGAAAAAACATGGCATTAATCGGGAAAAAAATAATTGTCCTCCTTGTGCACACGTCCTCAATGTACAGAAAAGCGCGTCATTGCTATTTTCATTGGTTAGGTTCTGCATAACGCCGAATGAATGAGTCTTTAGTCGGCATATCCAACTCTGCCAGACGGGCGCTCAATGTCTGACAGTGTGTTAAGAACAATAATGGTAGTACAGCGTAATAATTAACTGAGAATTTTAACTTTTAGATTAAACGGCTTCTGTACAGTTTGTCAGTTAATCTAGATAATAGAGCCTTAATCAAGACTGCGTATGTGTTGAAACAAACTCAAAAATGGTTCAAATTAGAATCTAAATCAGAACGCTCGTAATGCCCGAGCGTAGGAATGTATTACAACCAACATCTTACGTATCCTCACTATGATGCTATCTGGTTCCTGTATTGTGGTAGATAATTTACCACGAGTAGATTGGCGATTAGAGAAGTTTCACCTTTTTTGACACTAGACTAATCACTTAAATCAACTTTGTGTCGCCATTTTAATTGTAGCAAGTGGTTTTTTGCTGTACATCTTTATAAGGTTCATTATAATAAAAATATTATACAACACATTACACATTTTTGGTATTTGTTTTACATATTTAATGTATCTAAAGCACTTCTGATTTTGACCCCAAGATTGTGAAAATAACATAAATAATGATGGGACATAAAGGCACACACGGACCCCCCATTCTCATTCAAAATTTTCTTTTGATCCATTAAATATTTAGAAAAGTTTAATAGCAGAACTTTATGAAGCAAGCGTTAAATCTGCAAAAAATGGTGGAAAATTAATATTTTGTCATTAATAATAAGGAGAATTGGAATTAAAAGAATGTTTAAAAAATTACTTCCATAATCTAAAAGAAAATACTTTTTTGTCGATTATGCAAACATTCATACATATCTGATAACACACTTGTAAGATAGTGAATGGATTTGTCCTGCAAAAAAACGCAAATTCCCCTAAAATCACATTTTTATGTCCAATTGGTATCTTTGACCGACCATAGCACATAAACGAGAACACGGAAATATAGTTCTTTTGCATTCTCTACTATGCCATTAACTCCCTTTTTCAAAAACGCATATAAGAAAGTTTGATACAGAAATGATTTTAACTTCTCAGAGGTGTTCAACCTAAAAGCAGTTATGCATGTAAATCGCACTTTACCAAACCATGAGATTTCCATGAAGCATATAGAAGTACATATGATAACCTATGAGGTTTTTGTACGAACTATCACATATCGGGGAGATCTGCGAGTCTTCGTCTGCTTACATTTATAAATATGTGAACCACGGCAACGAAGTTAAGACGCAATGTCGATTTTATTATTATATGCCTTCCCGATCGACTTAGAATTGATTGATGTTGTATCACAATGCGACGTCAACATTGTTCAATGCATCTTAAGGCTTAAGGACAATCAGCTACTTATCGGAACGAAAACGGCCTTCAGAGATAAATAACAATCTCAGTAACCACTTCACAGTTCGAGCACGTCTGGGTTACATCAGCTTTATATCTGTAGACCAACCCATCCTCACCCCCTTCCTCTTCCTAAACATCGCAACAAACGTCGCAACCAATAGCCAACACTACAGTCAGATGCATGAAAAACAGAAATTACTTCGACATCAGATGTTCGGCTGATAAAACACAAACTTTAGATAATTTAAAAATATATGCAATAATAGGCTAATAAACCACATTCAATATAGAATAACAACTTTAGGATAACCTTAAATCTGTATGCAAAAATTTGCTAATAGACCACAATCAATATAGAACTCAGGTTACGCAGTGTTGCCAATCCAAGTAATCGCATACCTGGGTAACCTTAAATGATGTGTATCGTTTACTGCCCAGCAACTCGCCGAACATTGCTGAAATATTTATATCGTTAAAACGCAAGAAATATCAAAATCGATCATGCCCTGTGGACCTGAAGATAAAGAATAAAAACAAAGAAAGTGCGATCTACAATCAAAGGGAAAAGGATGAAGTCAATACCACATCTTAGAGACATAGGATAGATATGTTTCAGCGCACACAGTCAAGATGCATTTGCCTAACTGAATTGTTAACACAACATTTCCAAAATAAAAATGATTCATACTTTAAGATTGATTGTTTAGTAAATGTATAGCAGATGAACTTTGTCGTGTTTGATACTTAGGTATTGACAGATAAACGTAAAACACACTAAGGTGATTGCACCTTCAATTAAGTAATAGAAACAGTGTGATGAAAATGCTTAACAATGCATTATAAAGCTGTATGAACCATGTCACTGCCCCAAAAATAGTACTGTTGACATCGGGCTTACGGCAACCTCGAGGAATACAACATCCACCAGCAGGGTCTACTACCTTGTTTCTTGAACAATGAACGTAACACACACACAGGTGATTGCAACTTGACAATTAGTAATAGATACAGTATGGTAATAGATACAGTATGTTAATAGATAC